GTTTGTTTGCTTTGTTTTCTTGTCAGCTCAGAATCACAGCATTTGTCACCAAAACTTTGCTGGGACCTGGCTGTATTTGGGAAGCAGAGACAGCCCTATTCAAAGCCCTGGTTCCCACCTCCCCTATGCAACCTCAACTGGAAAAGCCCCTTTGAACGAAGCCAGTGCAAGAGCTTGCCTGGCAGGGTCGGGATGGGGGGGGGCTGGTGGGGTGGGGGTCCTGCCGGAGTCTGGGGGGGGGCTGGCAGTGTCGGGGGCCTGGCCCAATCCGGGGACTGAAGACAGTCCTGATTATGCAGTTGGTGACTGATTTCCTCTCGGTCGGTCATGGAGCATCTGTGTGTAGGGAAGGTTGACGCAGCCTGATTTCACAGGCTGCCCCTCACTCCATCAACGGGGGGGGGGGGCATTCTGATTTGTAGGCATTTGTGTGGTAGCTGTGCATTAGAGTGGGCAGAGGGACTGGGGATGCAGAAAGGTTAGCAACCACTCTACCAAAAGATACTTGTTCACCTACCGTGTGGAACACATCACGGAGCCTCACCACTCACTCACACGTGTGCTGCGTGGCTACGCCAGATGGATATGACTGTGGCTGAGTAGTGCACATCTGTGCTCTAAGAAGCAGGGGCAGGTCTGCGCTGCTCTGGGCATGCTGACAAGGCCTTGGCATAGCCGTTGGCTGGTCCCATTCTTGCTCTGCACGGGTGTGTTTCTGGTAGCAGTGTGCAGCACATGTGAGCAGCTGAGGCGTCATCTTGTGGATGTTTGGGTTCTAGTTACTGGTTTTTGGTGGCACACACATGCATGGCTTTGTCGTGTTCTGAAGGGGTTATACGCGTAATAGACTTCTCGCTGATTCATTCCTGACCGTGACCTTAAGCATTAGTTAGCTGCCAAATGTTTTGTAACCCAGGTCCTTTTACACATATACCTTGGGTGGGGGAGCGGCTACATAAAGACCTCATGTTTTACATTACAGTTGGTTGCCTTGGAATTTGTACTCTTGTCTATGAAAAGAAAGGTAAGGGGTGGGGGTAGGAACATAGCGGGCAGTTTAACCCCTTCCCTCTCAGCCCTGACTGTTGCTTTAATTTAGACCCCACGATGCATTTCTGGGAGTGTGACTAGGACTCTCCCCAGGGAAGTTACTATTCTCCCAAGGTCTAGAGAGAACACGATGCTTAAGAAGTGATAGCTGCTCAGAAAGAAGGGGAAGGGAGTGGGCCCTGGCCATTTGAATTTTCACTTATGCTAGCCTACTTTAAAGGTCCTCATCCTCATTCTAGAGGATGCCTTTATCTCCAGGGTTTTGTTTGTTTGTTTTATGTTTTTTTTTTTTTTTACCATGACAGCCACCATGGTAGTCTTATCATCGTCACAGTAAAGTGACTTTCCCCCATGAGCTATTCAGATACATTTATTAAATACCGCTTTGAAGAAGGGTGTGTGACTCGGGTGGGGTGGTGGCAGACCATCCAACTCCCATGTCTGGGTGATGATTTCCTTCCCGTGCACAAAGGGCACGTTCTGAGGCTGTATTTTCCCTTCTGTGAGTTGAACTGGAAGCTACTGGCCCAGCTAGTGGTTAACAAGCGTCATTTATGTTGTCTAGGTTGCATTTTACCAAGTTCCTTAGCATTTATTGCATGTGTGTCTGCCTCCGTGTGGGGCACAATCTCCGTCAATCCTCATAACCCAGCAGGGCAGGCACAGTACTGACCTGGAGGCAGACATGAAGGAGGCTGGGGGTGAGGTGGAGGGAGGGAGGGAGGAGGGAGGGGAGACAGCCCTGGGCCAGGCCACTCCATCCCGGTCCTCCTGAAACTCATGGTTCCCACTCTCGGGCTCTGAGAAGCCAGCGTAGAAACAAACCGTCTTAGAGACACTATTGTGACTGATATGGTGTGTGCGAGAGCTTTGGGCAGAGGACCACCCAGCATGCATCTCTGATGCTGAGTGGACAGCGTTGATGGAGCCCAGCCCTTCCAGAAACGGGGTCCTGGGGTTGATTGGCTCTGTCGTGTCCTACCACATGTACTTCAGTTTGGTGGCTTTCTCACGGTACTTCAGACGGTACCTACTTGCAGTAACAGTCTGGGCCTCGCAGGTTCAAAGTTCCAGAAGACACAGCCCTTGTATCTCAGGATAAGTATAGTGTGCACCAGGAGAGGTGCGTACTGCAGGCCAGCGATGGAAAGAATGTGATGTGGAGAGAAAGGACCTTGGGGTCCAAGGCTAGAGAGACACAGGTGTTTACTAGAAGAAAACCCTTGGTTGTAAGGGATTCATTGGCAGGTTGTGTGGGGCAGCAGGTAGCGCCTGTCTTCTGCGTGAATTTGCCCACGGTGTTCCTCCTCACTTAAGAACAGGCCAGCCTGGATAGACAGTTGGCCACGCAGTTTCTGGGGACCTGCGGTTAAGGTCACCGCGTTCCGTTGCTAAAGTGGGGGAGCACCTAAAGCTCCTATTTGTTTTCCACACTGCACAACGCTACTGCAGAGTGTAGTCTGGGCAGAAAGAGAGAACTGGCTAGGCTCAAGGATGACACAAGAGTATCGGCAGCAGTCGCTGAGCTCAGACTTTAGTTAAAATTATCCGGAGAATTAAGTCCCTCGCCCATCTTACTGTTCCCAATGCTTCACTGTAGCTGGAGAGAAAGAGGGTCCCCATTAGTCCCGCTTGGGAGATAGATTGTGATTGGTGACAGACCCACCATGTCTCCTGCTAACCCTTTGCTAATCATGACAATGGTAATGAACCACAGTTAATAAACACACAGCGCTGTTAGGCCCGTGCAAGCCTTCCCCGTGTGTTCTCTGAGAACAAGGGCTGGTTTCCAGAGTGGAACTCACATCTAGGCTTCCCTGTGCCCGTGTGGCTCTCGGGCCTAGGTATCCTCAGCTGTGGCCAATGGAAGGACCATTCCTGTTACTCCACATCCGTGCCAGGTTCTGTTTCTACTGAGACGAGAGGTGCGCCAACAGGGCTGCCTAACCCACACACATGGCAGCTGCCGGTTTACCTGCCCACTTCTGGCACTGTCTACCGCCATGGTGGCTGTCACACCTAACCGCTGCTCACAGTGGGCCCTAAAGCAGGCTCAGCCATGACTCCTGGACCACAGCCATCCATCCCTCTTTGTGGGATTGTGGGATTGTGGCCTGGCTTGACAGCCATGTCACCAGGGGTTTATCTTTCCAACCAAGTTGGAAACTTCTAGAAGGCAGCCAAAGTCATTTTTTCCCTTATGTAGTCTCATCCCATCCCTGTCCATCTGTTTCTTTTCCTCACGCTTCCTTTCCTACTACTGCAGCGGCAGCCCATCCCTTACTCCTCCTCAGCCATTCTTGACAAAAGACTTCCCTAGGAGTCTTCTCTTGAAGGCCCTGGGTGTGCTTTCTTGAGGTGTGGCCGTGGGCTTGGGCACAGCAGCTCTTTGCTTCCATACACCCAGCCTGGCCACCATCCTGGTTGCTGACTGTGGGGGCCACGCCTTTCAAACCTTTGATAACTTTTACCTCAATCATTTTCATTTGCAAAATGGTAGCTAGGTCGCCTGAGCAACTGACCAGCCCTTTTCTCTGGAAGAAGTATGATTTTACAGGAAGCTGTAAACGGGGTGACTGGGGATGCTCTTTTGGGATCATCTAGGAAGACCATGTTTTCCTTCCCTAACATGCCTCGGGAAAGTAACGCTTGATGATGCCTTTGCCATCCTTAACTGTGGTAGGAAGCTACTCTTCCTGCGTTTTATGCCTTTCCCTATTTAAAAAGCTAAAAAGGGAGCCAGGAGGAAACAGGGAAAGAGAGGAAGCTGCTCAGTGGTCCCTGAACTCAAGAGGCGCTGGTGGGCAGTGCTGGGACCTGACTTCTTCTTTTTTAATGCAATTCCTTTTCCTTGATGTTAATGCATCTTGTGCCCTTCCTAGAAGTAATAAAAGGAAATGAAGACACATTCTGAAATGAAACTTGACTCTAATCCATTCATCATCTAATACTAGCCTCTTTATCTTCTCTGGTACCTAATCTGGTTAAATGTCCCTGTTGTAGGATTTTAGTGAAAATCCCCTATTGGGAATAGGGTTTTTTGCAATTGGATTACTCTCAGTAAATGGCCCAGTAGTTCACTTGTTTCAGCTTAATTTTTTTTTTCTCCTTTGTGATCTTGCTGGGCTGAGTTATAGCCCAACATGGAGGGGGAGGGGCCAGAGCAAGGGGCGGAGAGAGGGGTCTGCTGGAGAAGTCCTGGGGAGAAGGCAATGAGGAGTGTTTGAGACACACTTATTTTCTTTGTTTTCTGCTTCTCTTAACCATCCCCTCTGCCCCAGTACAACAAACACTTGTATTTTATTGGTTAGAACTGCCCATTTCTCAAATGCATGCTGTTTATTAGCCCAATTCATCTTCATCCAGTTAATTTATTAGTGGTCCCTGATGGCTTCCTAATGAATCAGGGCCGAGGTAATCTGCATAAAATATGCAGGTGCTGGCCGGGCCAGAGCCTCTGGTTAAGTTCAGCCCTCCAGGCTGAGTGTGAAGGGTGGGACCCGGCTGTGTAAGAGCCTATGGGACCAGGGTGTGATGGGTAGGGAGGCTGCAAGGCTGGGGTTCCAGCCTTACAGGGATTCTTGTAAATGAAGATTCCTTTTTCCTGGCTTAACCTATGAGGCCAGCTTGCCTCCTGGAGGTCCTTGGGGTAGTAGACTCCACCCCACCATGTGCTTTACCCTGCTAAGCCTCACTTGCTGATGGGATGGGAAGGGTGCAAACCCTCGGGTTCTGGTGGTGATGTAGAGGGTGCTCCCAGGTAACCCTGCAGCAGGCCAGCCGGTGTGGAGAGCTAGCCCTCCCCTACATTAAAGTGGATTAAGGAGGTGGGGTTGGGCAGAGTCAGGCCGGCCGGGAGGGTGTCAGGGGCCAGGGGCCCTGCTCTGAGGTTGTACAGGCTGTGCCTCCCCCAGCTCACCGCGTCTTCCTCTGCCTCCCTCCCCCCACAGTCGAACAAAGTGCCGGTGGTGCAGCACCCTCACCATGTCCACCCACTCACGCCTCTCATCACCTACAGCAACGAACACTTCACCCCGGGAAACCCACCCCCACACTTACCAGCTGACGTGGACCCCAAAACAGGTAAGATGGGGCCCTCAAGGGGGCGGGTTCTAGGGGGCGTGGGACAGTTGCTCCCTCCTCTTTGGAGACATCCACTTACGGGGTAGAGTTTGTGCCATGGCTTTTAGAGAGGGCCGCTTGGGGGACCTGGCACTGGGGACTTCCCTAATCACTCCAAGTAGTAACGACTGGCCGGCAGTGTCTCCTGAGACCAAGGATCAACAGCGTGGTTTCCAAGGGATCCAGTCGCTTAAGAGTGACTTGTTGGAGTACCCATGTCACCCAGGGCCCCATATTCCTCGCAGATTCCTTGCAATTTCTTCTTCCACCCCAGGGTCTTGGGTGTTTTCTGTTGAACCCATTTTGCAGATGTAGAAACTGAACCCTAGGAAGCTTTCTCCATTTCATCCAGCACTCTCTTGGGCAGAGGCTGCCACACTGTCCTCAGCCCCTGTCCCTATTTTATGCTTCCCCAAAAGGAAAATGGTGGGAGTCAGGGCTGCTTACAGCTCCCCCTACAGGAAGATTCTGTACTGCAGGGAGCCACTTCTCACAGACAGGCCTGGGTGCCACACAGAGCCTGGCAGCTTGGCTGGAGGAGGCGACCAGCCCGCCCCAGGCCCTGCAGAGGACAAGGTTCCACTTACAGCAGGCAGCGTCTCATTTGAATAATGGTAGGCCAGGGAATAGCTTTTAAATGGTTATCGTAAACCATATGATTAACGTCTAAGGACTGTTTATTTTTCCTCTGCGAACATTCTTTCAAGTGTACAAATGGCTCAGTGTAGGGTCCAAGCCTGGCTAATCTGTTTGCTTTTTGTAATGGAGAGAAAGCAATGTCTGCGTTAAAATGTCACCCAGGGAGACTTAATTTACAGATTAAAAGCTTCCTGAATGAATTTCTTGAAAAATGAGATAGTTTTTGTTCATGAATATTGCTGTCCTGTCCCTGCAATTCTGGGTTGATTCTGGTACATTCTGCACATGTTGCCTCCACTTGGACTGGGAAGCTGGGCAGGGCCAGCTTCCTCTGAAGCCAAATTGCTCTCAGGACTCTACATCCTGAGGATGGATGACCAGATGTGCAGCCTGTGCAGTTAGAAAGTGAGCCGTGGTGTTCACTTTCAGCATACACTCCTGTGGGCCTTGGGTAGGCTCGCAGTCCCTGATCCATCCATACCCAGTCAGCATTAGGGCTGGTGCCCTCTGATGAGTCTGCCCTCGGGGTCATAGTCCAGAGTTGAGCACACCAGGCCACCTTCTCCATATCTGTCTCGGGGAAACATCAGCTGCTTTCTCTTCATGGAGGAATTGGCCAGATATAGGAGCTGAGTCTTTTGAAAGAAATCAGGCCCACCTCTCTGAGTCATAACTTAAAATGAATTATAAGTCATGCCTATAATCATAGCACTTAGGAGGTTGAGGCAAGAGGCTGTGAGTTCAAAGTCAATGTGAGCTGTGTAGTTAGACCCTGTCTCAAAACACTGAAATCAATTAGTTAATTAAGCCTTACAAATTAGCAGCATAACTTCCACATTGGAAATAAAGGGTAATGGACCAAGTTCCAAAGCAAAAGGAGTTAATAACCGTGGCTGCTCACCTTCAGTGTGCCAAGCTTTTTAGACTTTTTTTTTTTTTTTTTTTTTTTTTAAGTTGAAGTAACCTCTTTAGTCACACAAAGCAAAAATAGCCAAGATGGCATCTTCTTGGTCTCATTCACTCAATCACATCAGTCCCTCCAGAAGAAGCTAACTCACTGTGCAAACTGATGCTGTAGGAGAAGGAGAAGAAAGCTTCAGACAGCCCTCAGTCTCAGAGTCGGGAAGGACCTCCAGCTGGGATTTGAAGAGAGACAGCCTCTTTCTGTGTTCACTCCGTGCCCCCTCCCTCCCTCCACAATCCCTCTCGTCTGTACACTCACCCTTCATACCTGAAACACACTGCTCTTTCTCTCAGGAATCCCACGGCCTCCGCACCCTCCAGATATCTCTCCATACTACCCGTTGTCGCCCGGCACCGTAGGACAAATCCCCCATCCGCTAGGATGGTTAGTACCACAGTAAGCACTCCAGTTTTTAATTCCCTTTTTGTTTCTTGCATGAGCATGCTTATTACTATTATTATTACTATTGTTATTATTGTGTTTGTGCGTGTCTCTCTGTGTGTACATGTGTCAGTGTGTGTGTCTGTCTCCGTGTGTATGTCTGCGTGTCTGTCTCTATGTACCTGTGTGTGTTCCCTTGTGTGTAAGCATGGATGAGTGCCTGTTTACAGAGGGACAGCTGATAGAATATCACAGGGAAGGTGCTGTTGAGGTGCCCCGTAGATTTGCAGAAAGATTACACTATTTCAGTGAGCTGTGTTGAAAAGGGTCTGTGGTAATTGGCACTCCAAACTCAGGGTCCCCAAAGATGTCCTGGAGCGACTCTGCTCTGGGAACTGCACCAGACCAGTGAAGCTGATTTGGGCTACTCTGCCAGTGGCAACCCGAACTGGACTTGTGCTGCTGGGTTCACCTCTCTCTTTTAGGTATTGCCTTTGTGGCAGCAAGGGACAGGAGCAAGCTAGTGGCGGGAGCTCGGGTTGGACCTGGTGAGATCTTGGAGTGGGAGTGAAGGTTTTTTCCCTCAGCCCACGGATCCCAGCTACCATTCAAACCTTCACCGTGAAGGCAGATAGCAATAGGGGAAGGGACCTCTTGTCATCTATCTAGCTTCTAAGATCCTGTGCATGGCTAATGCTTTAGCCAACTATGGGGCCCCAGAGGAACAAGTAGAGCCCTCCCATTAGCATCCAGGGGCTGGGCGGTGTGAATGTTGACCCCAGTCTCTGGCAGTGCCCAAATAATTTGACTGCCACTTACAACTTTAAAGGGTGGTGTGTTTAGAAACCAGAGCAGAAAGGCCTTTTGTGCTTAAGGAACCTTACAGTGTAGCGCATGTGAGAGCGTGCATATAATGTTTGAGATTGTGTGTGTTTATACATGTCTTTCTCCATTTTGTCAGCGACCTCTAGCTTTAGAAAACAGGGCAATGTTGAGTGCTGGAAGATGCACATCCTGCTAAAACTGTCAAGTCTGGGTCTTTCGGAAGACAGTTTTGTAGCAATAAAGATTTTGGAGTAGTATCCCCATGTAACCTCTTGTCTCCAGGTGGACAGATCCTGGGCTGTTTGTCCACCTAAAAACAACAGGTTGTGTTTCTCAGTAGCTATGCTAAGTGGGTACTGTCCCTGTTTGTTTGTCTTATTTTTGTTTGGTGAGGCAGACTGGAGGGTTGGATCTTCGTCTCCTCCAGTGGATGGGGCTGAGCCTTGATGGTTCAGCCATTGGATGGGGAGAGACTGAAGGCTAGATAAAAAGGAATAACCAACTCAGACAACCCTCCGTCAGGAAAAGTTGTGTGTCTTTCATGAGGGTGCAATTCTGCATGTTGCTGTATTTTTTAATTATTGTAATGAGGTGTGATTGTCTATTGGTTACCCACAATTCTTCTTGGGGACTCTCCCCCCCTGGTAACTCTTGTCAACACTTGTTAATTTGACAAAAGGCTACAAATTAAGCTCTGTTAATTTAATGTTTTCTCACCGAGATCTAAATACCGAAAGAGGCCCAAAGCGCAACTGAAGTCCTTTGATTCGCTGTTCTTTATTTTGGTATAAATTTACATTCATTATTGTTTTCCTTTGGATGTGTAGCCCTCAATTAGTGTGATGGCTCCATTAAAGCAAGCGAGACTTCGCCTTTAATTATTACAACAAAACACCTAGTCTCAGCTTGGGGAGAGGGTCTCTATTGACACAAGCCGAGGTTATAAAATTTAATTAGCCATTCCTATCAGATTTATGGCATTCAAATTGTTCTGTGTTTCTTCCCTTTGATCCTGCCTGTACAATCCCCAAGATTTTTGTTCTGATCAAATGAGAATAAAGCTTACTGTACAGAGCGAACTCCCCTCTTCTTCCTTTCCTTGTTCCCACCCCAGCCTTAATTCCAGTCTCTCACTGTTTGTGCCCCTTCTTTGTAGGCAAGGTCAGCCCGTGTACCCAATCACGACAGGAGGATTCAGACACCCCTACCCCACAGCCCTGACCGTCAACGCTTCTATGTCTAGGTGAGTTGCGGTCACTTCTCAGAAAGCCGGGTGCCGCCAGGCCGCCAGGGCCGTGCACAAGTGTGGGTATCATAGCATAGACCACTGTAAATTTGACTTCCCTCCTAGAAAACCCCCAAAGGTTGCCTTGACCTTTCCAGGTAAGCGAGCGCCTGCCTAAGGGTTTAGGAGTCCATCCAGGGAACAAGGTAGTGTCACAGATAGAGGCCGCGGGAGTGGAGCTGGGAGGAGCTGGCGGTCAAGAGCATTTGCTGCTTGGGTTCGGTTCCCAGCACCATCGTGTGGCAGTTCACAACCATCTGTAACTCCTGTGCCCTCTTCCGGCCCCCACTAGCACCAGACATGCATGCGGTGCCCATACATGCAGGCGCACACACTCACACACACAGATAAATAAATCTGAAAGACAGCTACCAAGGCAGAGGGAAAGCGGCTGGAATGGGCGGTGCTTGGGGGGGTGTGGCTGGAGGGGGCGGGGCTTCAGAGGGAAAGCAGATGGAGTGGGCAGGGGCTTCGGGGAGTGGGCGGGGCTTCTGGGAAAAGCAGATGGAGTGGGTGGGGCTTCAGAGGGAAAGCAGAGGGTGTGGGCGGAGCTTCAGGGGAAAGCGGTTAGAGTGGGCGGGGATTCAAAGGCAAAGTCTATAGAGTGGGTGGAGCTTCAAAGGGAAAGCGGTTGGAGTGGGCGGGGCTTCGAGGGGACCGCAGGTGGGGTGGGCGGGGGCTTCGAGGGGACCGCAGGTGGGGTGGGCGGGGCTTCGGAGGGAAAGCAGTTACAGTGGGCGGGGCTTCGGGGGGAGCGGGGGAGTGGGCGGGGCTTCTGAAGTTGTCCTTTCTCTGTTGTCCTCTGCTGGGTGGTAACTTTATGATTAGTGTTCAGAGATTCCGGTTCCGGGTCTGTAATAAGCTGTATCCTGGCCCCTCAGAGTACCGGTGTCCAGTAGAAATTTCTTTCATGGGACCCGTGTTGTATTTTACATGTAACATTATGTTTACATTTTTTCTTTTCCTCCCCCGCCCCTTTTCATGCCGATATCACCTTAAGAAGGTCGCCCCTACTGTCCCGTGGTGAAATAGTTTTCAGTGACACGTTATATTATATTCACCAGCCATGCTGTGTGGCCCCACACAATGTGATCATGCCACAGCTACCTCTCTCTCTCTTATTTAGCCTTTCCATGTGACATGCACTTACACTTTACAGCACATCTCAAGTTGGACTTAAGGACACATGCTTCGTGGCCGTGCAACTGACCCGCACAATGCTGCCAAATCGTCAACAGCTGTAACGGAATTATGGGTGCACCCAGTCCTATAGATTCAGATTTAAGCATATATACTTTGTACATATGTATCCCCAGCACTCATTTTCCTCTCTCTAATTAATCCCGGCTAATTTTTCAGTGACTGCTAGTTTATTTACAAACTGGTTGGCAGCGGTATGCTTAAGTAGTCACTAATTGCCTCTAATGATAGTTTTATTTTATGTTCATCTGATTTTTGGTTGAGTTAATTAAATCGGTGGAGGTTTAGACTTTCCTGATGGGCTGAAGCAACCAATCTATTCTGATGATGCCACGGGATTGGATTAGCATGCAGTACACTGCAAGGATGCTGTCTCCCAGCCTCTGATGCTCTGTGGCCAACCACTGGGAGCCAAAATGACGGAAGGCAGGGGCTGGAGGTTGCCTGGAATGCCTCTTTTCCTGCTTTCAGGACAGCAACTTTTGTCTCGGATGGAGCGAGACTCACACCCCTGAGAGAAGAAGGCTGGAGTGTGGCTATAGTTTGTAGTTAACTCCATGAATACGCTCAGCTTGAAAGAGCCATTCCCCACGTGTGGTGTATCACTGAAATCTCAGAATCCATGCCTTTCTGAGCTAGGCAGGAGAATGATTTTCTGCATCTTCTCTGCTGGAGAAAGTAGAAAGGTTATACTCATTAGATGATGTCATCACTGTCCCTGTACAGCGTGGGAGCGAATGGGAAACCTCCTGGGAGGGGAGGGGAGGGGCTGCTTATGATCCTAATTCCATCCAAGCATTCGCATGCTGCTCCTGATTGTTCCTCCCGCTTGTTTGTTCGGTGCATCCGGAGGCTGAAAGCTACGAAGTCATCGTAGGATAGGGATTGGGGGTTAAGCTTATTGATTGAATTATCATTAGGAGGCTAGCTGATGATTTATAGGTCACAGAGGGTGGAGGAAAGGAAGGGGGTGGTGGGAAGAAAGGTTAGGGCCTGGTGGTACTGGGGGGGGGGGAGGTGGGTGGCAAATTCCCCAGGTAGGCCAAATGAAAGGTAGCTAGTGAAAAAGCGTATACAGCAAATTAAATACATTATTGGGGTAATGGGGGCGACAGAAGTATAGGTCTATTATATGTATGGCAGTTACAGCAAATGTAGGCAGCTTGCCCTGCTCCAGAGCACCCTTTGATATTTATTCTATTCAGCAGCAGGGCCAGGACTTCTCAGAATTAAGTGATGGGTCATTATACTTTAAACACCATGGAGAAGCCTAGATTGGCAATTAAACAGCGCTTGCTGACACTCACTTGTGCCACCCTGTGACCCCCTTTAGATTGAGATGTTGGAGCTCCGGGCCCTCAGCCTGCTAAATTGGGCAAGGCTCTTCTCATGACGAGAGCAGGCCCTGAAATCCGCCGGCTTCAAAGGGAGCGAGATCATGTATAAACCATAATGTGGGTGCACCGTGGCTCACGAAAAATAAGGCAGGGAGAGATGAAATGTTACAAGTGCAAGGGGAAAATGAGAGAATAATGACAATCCTAATGTAACTCAAAGCAGGATTGTTGCACGGGAAAATGCATCCTACCGCTTGTGCATAAAATCAAGGCCGGCAGATGACATGCAGCTAACAGAAATGTGTCAGCAGCGAAGCAAAGTGAGCATGAGCATGAGGGAGGCCCCAGAGACAGCCAGAAACAAAAATTAGTTGTCCTTAACAAGTTAAGGTTCATCATTATATTCTGGCTTGGAGCCATAAAGGCAGACGGGGGTATATAATGAGCTGCTTAGAATTTTTTGAGGGTGTTTATTGCGTTTCATGAAACAGTTGTCTGCAGAAAGGGGTGAAGGTGTATGTACTGAATGGGCCACACGCTCACATGCAGTCTTTCTGCTGTTGTTTTTTTTTTTTTTTTTGTATGTACCCACGCATGTAGAGGTCAGGGGACTCAAAAGTGTTCTTCGTAGTGGCACCCAGATCCCCGTCCCTAAAATGTGCCTTCGCCCGGTATCGGTATGTGCCTCTGCACACAGGCAAGCACACATTCCCACACTGTTATGTCTTTCTCTCTCCTGTGTGCATGTACACGTCCTCTCACACAGCAGAAAAGGAGCATTCATATTTGAGACAGTCATAGTAAGAATTGCCACTCCACCCGCCCTTCACCAAAGGGCTTCCAAGAGCACATCTTAACTTGTTTCTGCTCTGTGCCCTGGGAGCATTGGGCAGAGCAGGGGCAGGGGCAGAGTGTAACTGCAGAGCTCCAAGTCTGCTTTTCTTTCTTTCTTTCTTCCTCTCTCTCTCTCTCTCTCTCTCTCTCTCTCTCTCTCTCGATTTTACAGGGGGCAGCAGTGGGTTGCTTGTTACTCCTATACTCTCTCTCTCTCTCTCTCTCTCTCTCTCTCTCTCTCTCTGACTACTATTGAAGTATGTCATTGCTTCCAGTCTCCTGTACTGCCTTAAGTTTGCAAAGCCTATTGCAGTAGTGGTTGGAATTTCTAAGGCAGGTGTCTACAATGGCTCTGGGAACCCTGAAAAGGTCAACATTCTTCATGGGTGTTTTGCCTCTGTTAAGATGTACTGAGCCTGTCCATTCTCTAATTTTTTAAAATCCCTTTTCAGTTTAACATTTGTTAACTTATGGAAAGAACTTGTTAAATAAATACAAGATCCCTTTGAAATAACCATCACTATGATGATGCCTCCCTCCCAGAACTAGCTTTCTCAAGAGCAGGATGCTGCTCCGTGCTGGTCTCTGGGTGGCGGCTGTCCTTTTCTGGTTTGGCTTTATTAGGAGGGCAGCCATTGCTTCAGTTTGGTTTTTCTTCACCCCATTTGGCAATCTGTCCTTCCCTCCTTTACCCTGTTTTTATAAACACTGTGTGTTGCTTCATTTGAGGAGGTGCTTTCTCACCAGTACAAACAAAACATGAAATTTGACAGCCATCTGTCCTGGCAAATTTGTATGTCAGGAAATGCCATTTCAAGAACTTGAGTGTGTTCTGGAGACTTTCCCAGAAGCAAATGCTGTTAACTTTGTCTTTTCTGTGATCGCGATTTTTTTTTTTTTTTTAATCATTGACAAGGCTTTGGAATGATGCACAGGTAGCGTATTAAGTCAAAGAAAGAGTCTTAGAGGCAAAAGAGCATATAAATCAGAATCCGGTACTTCAGTGTGTGTGTGTTTCCTCATCTTCCTAAAAACTAAAACTAGAGATACAAATTTATTGAAAATGCCCATGATTTGAGATGAGAGTCACTCAGGAGCCATCAGGATTTTTCTCTCTCCTGTTACTCCCCAATGGTGGGCACAGCAACAAAAGGGAAAAGAAAAAAAAAAAAAAAATGAAGATTTGATTGCTCTCCATTGCTAGAATGAGATGAGGTCTAATGAGACATACAGAGCATTGTCAAAACATGCGTATATGCTTCAACCACATTAATATTTTATCTAGCTGTCAGTACACAACAGACACTATCACCTGTCCTCCTAGAGCTGACCAGGACTTAGGAAATTGTCTTCTGAGAGGCTGCAGCTCATGCCTCAGAAACCAAGTGGACATGCGATTTCTGGCTGGTGGTCCAGGCCCACTTTTCCACCCACGTACATTGGTTGTGAATTTGTCTTTTGCTGTAGATGTTAAAAATCGTAATGTCTCACGTCGGTAGCAATAATGAAGGGGGAGATGGGCTTTAGTGACAATTATGAGAATCATTATGTTTAATTTATCACTAATTAATGCTGACAGGCTTCATATGCCTTGGTTGCTTTCATGTGGGTGTTACTGCACTCTTTGGTTTTTAAATTGTATGTGCACATCCCTCCTCATTCCTTCATTTTGATTCTGACGATTTACACAGCTTTCTGTCTTCTAGGTTCCCTCCCCACATGGTCCCTCCCCATCATACTCTCCACACGACCGGCATCCCCCATCCGGCCATCGTCACACCAACAGTCAAGCAGGAATCCTCCCAGAGTGACGTCGGCTCACTCCATAGCTCGTAAGTATCACTGTCGTCTTCACGCTTTGTGGCCCTGTGCGGTGCACTATCACTGTGGCCGCTGCTTGGTGGCTTTCTGGCCGAGGTCAGCGTGTCTTGCCTGACCCTAGTGAGTACCCGGTCCATATGGCCCCTGGCTTCCATGTAAAGGAGGACATGCTCCCTAGCCAGTCCCACTGATCGTCACACTGCTGCTCAGAACTCCCGGAAGTGGGGGCCACCACCCTGTACTTTTACTCTGCCCTGGGAAAATGTATGTTTGCAAATCGCTAGGAAGTGGTTTCAGAATTTCGCACGAGCCCAGCCGCCTCCTGCAACTCCCCTGGCCCCTGCTCCGGGGTGGGAGGGTGTGAAAGCCGGAGTGACCTAACGTGGGCTCTGCTTTGGGGGACGTTGGCTGCATTGTTGCTTATTGGATGGTGTGTGTCCCTCTCCTTTTGTCTCTATCCAGAAAACATCAGGACTCCAAAAAGGAAGAGGAAAAGAAAAAGCCTCATATAAAGAAGCCCCTTAACGCATTCATGTTGTATATGAAGGAGATGAGAGCGAAGGTGGTGGCTGAGTGCACCCTGAAGGAGAGTGCCGCCATTAACCAGATCCTTGGCCGCAGGGTAGGTGGCCCTCCGCGGAGAGAACCGCAGAGTGCGCCAGTAGCAGTGACAGGTGTCTCTTTACACTTGCCTCTTAGAGCATTGCCCCCAACACTGCCACTTTGAGTCCTTGCACGGCTTGCACTGGTCCAGACCATTGTGCTTTTGAATAGCATTTAGGAGAGCCACATCCCTCACCTCCCTGCTGCGGACATGGCGAAGGACAAAAGGGCATAGAGGGCAGACGTGTTTTCTCTGGGCAGCATTGTTAGGGCCAGGACCTGGCAGAGCTGCCGGTACCTGCACACTCTGCCGTGTCGGGATAGACTCATGCACCCCAAGCATCGCGTCTCCTTTACCGCCACAGTGTAGTCTGTGATGTCTCTGCGTGTCTTTCTCTCCCTGCCCTGTGTTCTCTGCAGTGGCATGCCCTGTCCAGGGAAGAGCAGGCCAAGTACTATGAGCTGGCCCGGAAGGAACGACAGCTTCACATGCAGCTGTACCCTGGCTGGTCTGCGCGGGACAACTATGTACGTGCACCACTTTCTGGAGAATTCGCTCTTTGTGGGTATATTGTGTGTCTGCAAGGACCCAGAGGATGGGTTCTGTCCCTTACCCCCAGTCAAGGAGCTTGGCTTCCAATGTGACTCTGTTGTATGTTAGCACATGGTCATTCCTCAGGAAGCAGGGGGAATGCTGGCATCCGTGTTCTCACATGGAACCCGGAGACTGATTTGGGGTGTCTGTGCCTCTTTGCCCACCTGCCATCAGTGGTGTAGCTTATAGAGACTGCACTAGATAGAGGGGTGGGCATGTTTGACTTGTCACAGGCTTTCCGGCAGGGCCTGTAGCCTCGGGAAGACAACCGAAAAAGCATCTCAGGCCAGGTTGTCACAGGAGCTGGAAGCCTGTTTCATCCTGAGAAAGGCATGATGGGAATATCCCTGAAAGCAGCCAGCAGAACTCATCTTTGGGTAGGGGAAGATGAAATGACTCGGGTTCCACAGAGGTAGAGAAGGGTGTGGGTCACATGACATACCTGTCACGTGGTGTGTGCGCTTCCGGGCTCTGTTGGTAGGTCAAGATTGGCTGGATTTCCTGTCTTGCTTCTTAAACATCATCTTAATAGAACTATTGTTTTTACTTCTGTCATTGATGGCACAGAACAAACCCACAGTTCTGGATCCCCCTATCATTTGTCACCGTTAGTCCTGGTCCTGCATTTTACCCAGCAGCCTTGAGTTCTGGGCTCCTTTCCTCTCTGGATGGGTGGAATGTCTCCTGCTTTCTCTCTTTATTGCATCATGTCAGATCTCACGAGATGTCGCCTCCACCCACTCGGACACCAAAACCAAGCCTGTCTTGCTGCCATCACAGCCTTCCTTTTCTCTTCCCTCTTGGGAAAGCCATGGGGGCCGGGAAGGTGCTTGCCAGGTGGTGCCAGCGGGGAAGACAGAGGTATCATAGCTCTTCGAATTTCCTTCACTCATTTTCCTCAGCCCTGAAAGGCTGGAGCTGGCTCACCCACTACCTCCTACCCATGTAGCCAAGGAGACCGGACCTGCTTCACTGCAGTGCCCATGTGCTTCCAGCCCTCCCTGCCCAATCAGCACTTCTGTTCTTGAGAGAGTGGCATGTTTCACTTGCAGACAAGCATCATGAGCTCTTAACGTGTACCCCACGCAATCCCAGGTGACACTTCAGCATCAGGCACCCTCCTGTCCCCCTGACTTCTCAGAGCTCATAGAGTTCGACTCTAATTCAGCTCTGGTTCGTTACACATCCAATCCTGGAGTCAGTGGGAAGGGTACCCTAGAGCAGGATTTGGCTTCTCTACAGCTACCGTATCCCAAGACACCCTAGACATCGGTGTCTTCACAGGGCCCTCACGTCACAACTGCCGGGTTTGTGGACCATGTGCTGTTTACACTGGGAGTTGGGTAGATGGTGCCCTCTGGGGTTGCACAGGATGGACACAAAGGCACGGGCAGACTGGGTGACAGTTTCAGAGCCATTCCGTTTGACTTGCAGGGAGTCAGCTAGGCACAGTCCAAGCATTCTGCGATGTGCTTTCTAGATTCTTAAAGAAGGTCCACGTGCCACTTACCCTGCCTCCCACTCTGCACTGGAAGGCAGCGTGGACAGCAAAGAGCCACTGGGCAGGTGATGGGCGTGCTTTAGAGGTGGGTTGGATGTAGGGCTCCAGGAACGTAAGCCTCTTGGACACAGGCGGTCAGGTTCCTGTTTCAATGTCCCGTCACACACGTGTGAGAAAACATGCTTACTCTTTCCTTCCCTGCTCCAGAAACACACTGGAGTCAGGGGTTTCACACCAGAAGCTTTTGTGAGGTTGAGTATGGTGGGAACTTGTGAGCAATCCCTTTTTAACCAACTGGAGGTTCTGCAGACAGCTGGGGCTACTGTGAAGCCCAGAAGGTTCTCCTGGGAGATGTGATCTGAACCAGCCCTCCTTGCCCTTCCCGCCAAGGGGGGCTTGGAGCCTTTCTGTCATTGCCTTAGGGAAGTATATTGGAATGAAACCCCATTTGGCTGCTCAGGTTTGGCCTGTTCTTTAGGACCCAGGAGACACTAGCTCGGTACCATAGTAACAGCTGGTTGAGTAGGAATCATAGTAAAGTATTCCTTCTTTCCTATATTGAAGGCTCTATATGTCCACTTGATTTTTTTTTTCTCCTGCTCTGATTTCTTGTGCTTTTTCCCTTTCCTTCTTGTATTGAAAAAGGAAGTAATCTCCTGTCCTGTCTTCATGTCTTCTTCTTCCCATTAAAACACCATCCCTGCCCACCGGGAGCTAGTGTGCATAGCCTTCTGCTCAGTCATGGACATGACTTGAACTCCAGTGCACAGCAGAGAATTCTGTAGGGGACCGTGAGATAGCCCTGGGGTGTGTGTGTGTGTGTGTGTGTGTGTGTGTGTGTGTGTGTGTGTGTTTGTGTTGGGGAGGCACATACAAGCAGCCTCAGGCTAGACCACCTGAGTTTTCCTTCTGGCTCCTCCTGCCCACCCTGAGATAGCCACCTGGCATATTCCCTCCTTTTTCTTAGCCAACAAGCAAAAGGATCTGGTGTGTAGCTGCGTAACTGGCTGCAGCACATGTTCCTAGTGACCCAGACCCCAGACCCTCAGACGGTAGAGAAGCCCTCTCCGAAAGACTCGGACTCGTCCAAGCCTGAAACTGCCTTGTGTTGCTACACACACATCCCTGTCCTTCCCTTTGTAGTGTTGATGCCACTGTCCCATAAAAACCTTTAAGCAAGGGTGGCAACATTCACGCATTTTGAAGCACACGGATTTGTAGGACCACAGCTGCCTCGTGCAGGCCGGGGCCTGGCTCTCTCACTTGGTAGGGTCAGGCTGGTAGATGGCAATGACTTAAGGCAGTCTCCTCGCCCCTGAGGTATCCAAGAAGTGTTCCCTGCAGGGTTACAGGAGTACTCAGCAGAAGGCACTGCCCGTGGCTGAGGGCAGGGCTTCGAGACCACAGGGGTTTTTACTCAACTCAGGAACCCTGCCTAGCCTATGTGAACCTGTGTCCTCATTTGCGACACTGGAGGATGATGATCTATGTGCTATGTGGAGTAGTTGCTGTTTGGGTCCTGCCTGGATCCTGATGTGTAGTTCACAAATGCTGGTCATTGTTAGTGTTAGGAGTGGCTGTTATAACGAGGAACTAACCTTATAATAGTGCATAATTTTAATACTGGTTAGGAGCTAGCCATTCTAACAGCATGATAATATGCACTATAGAGATAGCTCCTGGTGTGGCATGGTTTGAGTTACACTAAGCTGTGATGTCCTGAGACATGGGATGTCCATGGCCATAATGCATGTGTTTGTGAATTGTGATCTCTGCGACCAGTGATGTGTTGGCTGGGGTGCAATCAGAAGAATACCTATATCCAACATAACAGAATGGGGGAACACTTCCCTTTGCCAATGCAGATGCTCCCTGCAATTTTGAAAGAAGCCCAGGTAACTTGGTTATCTCGTATCTCCACCCCCTCCTTACTTTCCGTCTTTTAGAAGGAAGGATCACACTATGTTTCTGAAAGAAACCACCACTACAGAAAATCTGGGGTGGTTTTCTCTCTCAGTGCAGGACAGGGCAGGTAGGGCGGCTGTGAACCACCGAAGCCTCCCAGGTTTCTCTGTGGCCCCTGGGAAATGCGTTCATCTGGCTCTCACTCTGGCTCCCTATCCCTCCTGAATCTTCCTGGCCTCTTTCTCTTCCCTTTTATGGGGTCAGGTGTCCTGGGTCAGGTTGAAGATGGGTGAAAGCCATGAGGTCTTTCCATATCCGCTCGCTATGTATCCCTCCAAGTAGGCAGAGTTCAAGGGTTAGATTTGTGGGCAGCAGACTGGGTAGACTCAGAAATAGTGGAGGTAGCAAACTGGTTCGTCCTGGTTCTCCTGCCATGTGAGTCTAGACATCTTGCTGGTTGTCCATTTCTCCACCTAATTTCCTGTATTTCGTCTGTTCATATAGGGGAAGAAGAAGAAGAGGAAAAGGGACAAGCAGCCCGGTGAGACCAATGGTGAGTGACGCAGTCAGGGTGACGGAGGAGACACTAGCTGGAGGGCCAGTCTTATGTCAGGCTTCTATCTGGGGAGACAGGAGAAATGCAAGGCCAGAGTGTTGTGGGGAACCTGTCTTAGGGAGCCCTTTGGGTTTATGCGTTTTAATTAATTGCTTCATGACTGCCCTTTTAAAGCTAGTAACATCCATTGTTGCATGAAAAGCCCGTTGTAATTCTGGCGGAATGTGTTTTTAAATAACTGCCAAGCCTGTAACTAGAGAGCCAGCAGTAGGCATGCCTCTGCCGGGTTTTGGACAGCCTGCTTTTGTGTGTGTGTGTGTGAGAAGGGATGAGGAGGGTCCTAGGGGACCAGGAGGGGCCTGTGTGAGTGTTGGGTTAACTGGCTGTTCCTGAATGTTCCAATGCATGCCTTTACAGTGGTAAATTGCACCCATTTTAAATTAAGGAGGTTTGTCACTCAGTAGAAGAAACTAGAAATACTGCATAGGCAATCAAGGTCCCTTGGAGAAGGCCAGGCTTTTACAGACAAACAAAAATTTTGAAGACTTTGTGTAATTTGTTCTTTTTTTTCAGAACACAGCGAATGTTTCCTAAATCCTTGCCTTTCACTTCCTCCGATCACAGGTGCTAATGTCCTTTTGAGTCATTAAAATAGTTGATGAACTGGTTTTTCATTTTTCTTGCCATTTATAGTTTTATTAACATTGAACACGTATGACATTTGAACATCCTTTAAAGCGATCATCTACGCGTTTCATTATGTTCAGTAGATTTTTTTTCCAGTTGCTTTTGTTGGTTTTATTTATTTTTTATTTTAACTTCTGTTTCATTTACTTATTGTCCCCATAACAGTTGTTTAAGCAATGACAACAGTGGTTTAGAGCTGAACTAACTGTGCAAATTGAATATGCAGTATTTCTTTAAAAGAGACTGGTAAAGAAAAAAAAAAAAAAAAACGAAAAAAGAATTAGTAATAAAACCTCCTTAATCTAATGGCTTTTTCTGTTGCCCCACTAAATTTTCTCATGCTAGCATGCAATCGCAGTATGATTATTTTTTTCCTTTGCTTTTTGTTTATTTATTTTTCGTTTGTTTGTTAGCTCTTCCTTTCGCTTTTTTGCTTTTATCATTTGCAAATGTGCTAGCCATTTACTGACCATGCCTGCTTCCATGCCTGCTTCCATGCCTGCTTCCATGCTGCTAGGAGCTTCTAACACTTAACAAACAACTCATCCCATGGCCTGTTCACCTTTCTTCCCTCTTAATATTAATGAAAATATATTTTTTTTTAAAAAAGAGAACATCCCAAAAGCTGCAATATCCCAATACCCACAACCTTTTTCTTTCTTTATTTCTTTCCGTTTCGTTTCATTTTGTTCTGTGTTTATTTGTATTGTTTTATTTTTTGTTTGTTTGTTTCTTTCTTTTTAAAAACTGTAGTACTCAGAAGGAAAAAGCATGTTACAAACTCAACTCCTTCCTTTGCTTTATTTTCTTCTTTGAGAAAAAGAAAATTGAGAGAATTAAAACAAACAAAACAAAACAAAAAAAAAAAAAAAAACAGAACTAAACAAACAGAGGAAAAAAATCATAGAAAGAGCAAGTTCTTGGCTATTGCCGCCCTTTGGGCGACTGGAACCAGATCTGACCGTCCTTCATAAGGGATACTGCAGCTTTATTTGCAACAGCTAATTTCACAAGTTGAATAAGTGTGATTTTTACCTTTTTTTTTAATTAAAGAAAGTTTAAAAAAAAGAAAAGTCAATATTTTGCTATTAGTAACCCGGTCATTGATTTATTCCCTTTTTTATTTTTATTTTTTTGTTTGTATCTCTCTCCCCCTCCCTTCCCCTTCTCTCTCTCTGTCTCTCTCTCTCTCCCTCTCTCTCTCTCTCTCCCTGCTTCCCACGTCCTCCTTCTCTCGCTCCTCTCTTGAACTCATTCAGACCTGAGCGCTCCTAAGAAATGCCGAGCGCGCTTTGGCCTTGATCAACAGAGTAACTGGTGCGGCCCCTGCAGGTGTGTATAGTCTCCCAGATTCGCTGTGCTGGTTTGCAGCTCTCTCCCATTCCTCCTCCTCTGGCCTGTTGCTTTGTAGCTTTGTGTGTGGATCATAGGAAATGCCAGGGAGCGGGGACACTACCGTGTGTGGGCTCCACGAGGGATGCTTGTCTGCCAGCTGCTGCTAGCCAGAATGCCACTGTAAAACAGTGTGTGTGCCTCCTCAGGGCTGAGACTCAGATTCCAGTGTGCCCTGGACCAGGGAATGTTGCCTGCCAAACCCCTTGTGACAGACAGCCCAGGATGTGCTCACCCTGGCATAGGTAGAAGCCAATGACGTCACCTTCTCCCCTCTTCTCTCTCTCTCTCTCTCTCTCTCTCTCTTTTATTTTTCATTGGTTTTTTTTTGTTTTTGTTTTTGTTTGTTTGTTTCTGGTTGTTTTCCTTTGTGTGTGTGTGTAGTGTGTGTGTGTGTTTTATTGTTTTTATTTGATTTGTTTTGGCTCACAGAAGCCCCTTCCTTTCAAACCCATGAGGGACGATTGTCAAGTATAGATCCAAGATGATGCAGAAAACAATTAGTGGAGGTCTCACGTCCAACTGAACACGACCCACCATTGTGTTGTATTTTCTTGTGTTTACCTTATGCTAACAGATGCAAATACTCCAAAGAAGTGTCGGGCACTGTTCGGGCTTGACCGAATGACTTTATGGTGCAAACCCTGCAGGTACATGACCAATTCCGAGGCCTTGGGGACAATCAGAGCCTTCTGTCCTTCCGCTACTTAGTGGGTCGATTTATTTTGCCCTCATTCACATCTACTTTCCCCCACTGGCATCAATGACTAATAAACTCTCATCCTTCAGATTTTCCTCGCTAACTCCATACCGTTTCCTCCCCTTCCCGCCTCCCCCCTTGTTCTTGTGAAGAGCATGTCCCTGGTGGCAAGGGCTGACAGCCATGACCTAACACATGAAGACAGGCACTGAGGCTTGTCTTGCAGGTGGTCAGCCTGGTGAATCACTCGGTGCCCTGTGTTCCGAGCAGAGGGACACCCGGCCGTCCCCCCTACCCCTCTCCCTGGTGTGCAAGTCAGAACTTGAATTTGGCAGTGGTAGCTCTCCCATGCACTTTCCTTAAAGATGCTGATACACGTGCATTGGGGCACTTTTTTTAAAAGTCTTTTTTATTTCTCTCTCGCTCTCTCTCTCTGTCTGTCTCTTTCCCCCTCCCCCCCCTCTTTGGTTGTGTTATGTTTAAAACACGTATCTGTGTGGAGGAGCTCGTTAGCTGACATTGTTTTACAGCGCTGATAACTAAGTGTGGCATTGAATGGTGTGCACCAGCTAATAGCCTGTGGGTAGTGAGGGCTGCAGCCAGACACTGCAGCTGCAGCTAGACACTGCAGCATTGTCATTCCTGCAGAGCAGTCACGTGAGACCACATGCAGGCATAGCGTGGGTCCCCACATGCATCAGAAGAGTCCAAGCTGAGCCCCATGATCTGCCTGCAGGATTCCCACCTCAGGGTGATGGCAGACAAGGCATAGGTACTTCCTTCTTGGTGGAGGGATGTGCTCTAGTACTCATCTCCTTTCCTTTCCTTCTAATGACCACCTTTGGTTAAATTTGTTGTTTCTTTGTTCTGATACAAGCAGTCTTTGAATTTGGAATATTATGATGGTAGGTATCTCAACACCCCAAACACGCACCCCTGTTTGTAGTGCCTCCCGCGTCAGTCACTTGTCCCTCTTCTCCATTCCCCTCGCCGTGCTCCGTGTGTAGACGTTAGATCAGACGTCCATCCCATCACGTGCATGCCCACGAGTCCGCCGTGTCTCTGGTTCTCTGTATGAGAGATTGCTGACCACATAAGATCCCCAGGGAGAGAGGCCAGGGAATCGCCTCTGACAGGAAGCTACAGATGGCTCTGTGGTCTGGAATAAGGGAATCGGGCCTTCGACAGGCACCCAGAAGGGAGCAACTAACTATGAGCAGACAGAGCGGCCCGGGCAGGCCAGGGTAAAGCTGCATAAGGGTGTTAGGTATTAAACTAGGGTGAGCCAGGTAGGTCAGGGACCTGCTTAGTCTGTAGGTAATCGGTTGGTTAACACATTAGGAAGGAATGCCCAGGGTAATATAGCGTAGTACCCCACCATAGCAAGTCGCAATAGACACTTCCTGTGCCCCGCAGTGAGGCTGGTGCAGGTGCTCACCTCACAATTTTATCCCTGAATGGTGATTTATGAACCTTCTTTTTGGTTTCAGATCAATTGCTACAAACTCTCCCTTGGCTATTACTGTGGTTAACGGGGATAGACCATCCCCCACGGTCCTCCCAGACCCACCAACCTCAGACATGACCCATCTTTGCTTAAATCCGTGGTGGGTTATCTTCCTCCAACCAGAAATTTCTTGATACGTTTTACCACCACCTCCAGCACCCACCAACTTTTTAACTGGGTTTTTATTGCTTTTACCAGATTGAAACCTTTGTAGTCTCTTTGTCCTTCAGGCACTTGGTCTCTTCAGACACGCGTTGGGGTTGACTGTTATCAAAGAGGCTGAGATGTCCTTGGGCAGAGGGCATGGAGTCCAGCAGGCCCCTGTCATTCCCCAGCCTTCTTTCTGGCCTCAACCCCTAGAAAGTTCTAGCTGCCATGTTTCTTTTTAAGCTTTTGGGGGATTTTTTTTTTTTTAAAGAGCTGTAAATGTGTTATCAAGCTTATTTCTGTTTGAAGAGGACCTTCTAAAACAGGTCCAGGAAGTGCCCTTAGAACGTGTACAAGAGAAGCTACACATAGGTGCTTATGAGATAGATAACCCTAAACTGGGGTGGGCCACAGGTTGGAGCTTGAACAAGGAGTTAGCCATTCCCCAGCTCTTTCTTTATATACTGCCATGACTGCACTGAGCTGGACATTCAGAAGACACCCATGCATGCACACACGCACGCATATGCTTGTGAACGGAGGCATTTCCTGACCCATCCAGACGTCTGTGTTCCAACTGCCTTTGGCTCAGCCAGCCCTAATGGGGAACATAACATCAGCCCACCACCATAGTCTCCCTGTCCTGTGTTCAAATGCTCCCCACACAGCATTTCGGCATTTCGGGAAGGGTGGCGGGAGGGGTGAGGGGAACATCAGCTGTGCTCCTAGCAATCAAGACTCTTAGCTTCTAATTCTATTTGGCACTTGAGGACACTTTAACCACACTCTGTTTTGAGCCCACCAAGTTGCTCCCCATCTTCTTCTTGCTCCAGCCTAACAGAGCCTGGAACCCCGCTTCATGCTCCCCTCTGGCTGCCCGCCCTCCTCCTCCCCTCCTCTCTTCCCCTGGCGCCTCCTCTGTTTTGCTTACGCCCTCCCCGTCCTCACCTTCTTCTCTTCTTCCTGTTTTCAAACTGCATGGAGATCCTAGTGTGTGAGCATGCTCTGATCTGCAGGCTAAGGTGGTTTAAAATGGAGAGGTTACATTGTTTATTTCATTCCTGGAGTGGGAGCAGAACCCATAGTCTGTACTAGTCTATCCAGGGAGAAAAAGGAGCCCTGCTTAACAGGCTAAGGAGGGGACCGTCCTTGCTCCCCTAGAGTTCCTTCTGGCCTAGACAGCCTCAGCCTCTGGGAAGCCGGGGGGTGGGTAGTGGCATGTCCTCTTCCCTCACCCCCTCTCCTCCCCTCCTGCCTCTCTACAGAGTCCATGCCCTGTGCCCCATGCTGCCAGCCTAGACTAAAGAAGAGCTCATATAGTGCAGCCCCATCCTTGCAGACACCAGAGACACTGTCCCATGGTGTTACCTTCAAATAGGCAGTGTCTCGGAGGTTCTTCAGTGACCGGCTACTGGCCGGTGCTCACACACTTGGTTTTGGATGGAGTGGTACCCACACGCCATGGTTCTGATGCTCTATTGAAGAGTCTTTGGATGGGCACATTCCCAAGTCTGAACTGTTTTTTATGGCATTAGTGGGTCAATCCCCAGGGTCATTTTTCCTACTAAGTAGGTCCCCATCACTGAGCAATTAATGGCGGACAAAACTTTGGAGTCACGTGCCTGGTTTCTTGAGTTGGTTTCCCCACCGTAACCTTTGATAAGTCAGAAACGCTCTCAGGTTCTCATCCCTGCTTTCTATACAGATGGGTGGCAGAGAGGGGAGACGACGGTTCTGGCACAGGGCAGATTTAGTCTTTCTGGTTCAGACCCTGATCCTAAGGTCCCTCCTGGACCTTCTTCCCTGTCACTTCTCAGTGACTGGCTTCCTGACTTTAGCATATGACCAGGGCAAGGCGCCCACGTGGACCGCTCTTACTCCTTACAGCCTTCTCACCAGGGAGTGGAGAAGTCCCAAGTCTTTAAGGGGGAAAAAATACAAAACAAACAAAAAAAATTAAATAAATTTTGAATCTTAATTTTATCCACAACCTGCAGGCCATGTCAACCAGTTATTCTTGTACTTTTGAATCATTTTCTGTTTTTCTTATTCTCTCCTACCCCGCCTTTGTTCACCCTCTTCTGCCTGTTTTTTGGTGATTCTTCTTATCCTTTTTTTTTCCTTTTTTTTTTTTCTTTTCTTGGTTGGTTTTGTTTTTTAGTTTGTTTTGTTTTGGTTTTGTTCTCCTCCCCCCCCACCCTCCTCCCCTCTCACCTGATTCTGACCTCTCGATTTGGTGTGGTTCGTAACAGACAAGCCCAAAAGCTCTCTGGGAACCGGTGGTGGTGTGTTAAAACCTTTAAGCCCCTTGCCAGCACTGCCTTCAGCTACATGGGCTCAACAGTCAGCATTCCGAGAGTTTCATATTGATAAGAGGCCACGGGGGAAGGAGCTTGCTTTCTCTTTTAAACGCACTCAGACATCATCGGAGACTGGGGATGGAGAGGGTGGGAAAGAACCGGGAAGGCAGGCAAGGAGATGTGGTGGGAAAGAGAAGGCAAAGCTAAGCCCAAGGAGAAGTAAACCCCGCTAGTTAGCCTTCGTGCAGCTAAAACCCTTCCTAATAAATCTGTGCCACCTTCTGCAGGTGACTCCCATTTGTCTGCTCAGATCCATTCTGGAAGGAGCAGAGCCCCGGCTGTCTGGTGAGGGTAGGATGTGAGGAAGGGTACTTGCTGTGCCAGAGCAGACTTAGACTTGGGAGCCACACAGCCCCCTGAAGTCAGGGCTTTAATTGCTCTGTGCCCACGTGGCTCGACCTGTAGGGGGCAACCCCTAGGTGACATCAACTTCTCCTGAGCATTAGATAAGGCTCTACCTTGGCGTCTTTGCCCTTTATTCACAGATAACTCTTTCCCCTGTTTCTAGGAGAAAAAAAAAGTGCGTTCGCTACATACAAGGTGAAGGCAGCTGCCTCAGCCCACCCTCTTCAGACGGAAGCTTACTAGAGTCGCCGCCCCCGTCCCCACATTTGCTAGGCTCCCCTCCCCGAGACGCCAAGTCACAGACTGAGCAGACACAGCCACTCTCGCTGTCCCTGAAGCCTGACCCTCTGGCCCACCTGTCCATGATGCCACCGCCATCTGCACTCCTGTTGGCTGAAGCTGCCCACGGCAAGGCCTCCACCCTCTGTCCCAATGGGGCCCTGGACCTGCCACCTGCCGCCCTGCAGCCACCCGTGGCCCCGTCCTCGTCTCTCGCACAGCCGTCAACATCTTCCTTACATTCCCACAACTCTTTGGCTGGGAGCCAGCCCCAACCTCTGTCTCTGGTGACCAAGTCTTTAGAGTAGCTACACCTCGTCCACCATCGCACCTGCTTGATGGAAGTGTTCCCTTCCGGTTCTTGATTTGTTCTCCCCCCCCCACCCCCTTGGAAAGCGTTTGTTAGTGCCCTTAATTTTGTGCCACTGTGGCTACGTGAGTTGATGTTTATCGAGTTCATTGGTCAATATTTGACCCATCCTTATTTCAACTTCTCCTTTTAAATATGTAGATGAGAGAAACCTCATGATTCTACCAAAATTTTTATCAACAGCTGTTTAAAGTCTTTGTAGGGTTTAAAAATATATATATATATACATAACTGTTATGTAGTTTGGATAGCTTAGTTTAAAAAGACTGATGAAGAAGGAAAGAAGAGAGAGAGAGAGAAGCAGTTTTGAAGCATCCTGCAAGAAGGAGTTGGTTCTGTATTATTTGTATTAAATACGAGCTTGCGAACCAATCACTCTACACCCTGGTTTTTCAACCATGAGGGCACAATGAATGCGTGCCATTTCTTCCTTTCTTTTTCTTTCTTTCTCTTTGTTTTTTTTTTTTTTTCCCGTGTGAAACAACTTTTATTGTGACGTTACTTGTTATTGTTTAAATGTACAGAAACAGAGGGTTAAAATGTGTTAATATACCTTGTTCCATGGTGTTGTTCTTCTGGGGGGGGGAGGGGGACGCTACTCAACAATGAATGGAATCAACCCTGTTGGACCAGTAGTATTTATTGCTTTAGAGGTTGCTTGTTGTACCTGTACGTCCGTCCCTTTTTAAATATGTTTTCCTTTTCTTTCAAAACTGTATAAAGTCCCCCCTCCCCTTAGCATAAGCATCTTATATATAACAACTCATTTGTACAAGGTTTTTAAGTTTATATATAAAATGTGTATATATTTTTTTTGTTTCCTTTTTTTTTTTTTTTTTTTTTTGACTTTTGTTTGTTTGTTTGTTTCTGTATAAAACCCGGACACCACCAAAAGGACATTAATAGTTACATTAAGGGTCAGTAGCATTAACAAGGGTTGCTTTAAAAGCCATTATGTAAAACAAGACTTGAACATTAGTGAGAGAATCTTCGCAGCTGTCTGAGCAGCTCTGGGAACCGCCCTGTTTCCCCGACCTCCTAGTCAATTGCCCTGTGCTCTTAGAACATGGACTGACCGTGTGCAAAGCTTTTATGTGCCAAAATTCTCAGTGGCTTTAGCTTCCTCCCTCTTTTTTGATGCTGTACTTTCTGTTCGCCATGTTTTGCTGTGATGTTACATAGATAGACTTGTGTGTAGTTTTAATGTCACCTATAACAAAATGTGTTTGGTAGCAGACCGTCCAGAAAGCATTTTAAACGAAGAGGTCTAAACCCTTAAGGGCCAAAAATTCTGTATATTAGATTACTCTTAAATGAAAAAAGAAAAAAGAAAAAAAAAAAAAACCCAGCTGCCGCTTTTATGTATACATGTTACATACAAGTAGGCGGTGAACTTTACAAACAAGAAAACCCAGGCATGCTGATGTTGTAAAATGCTGTATAAAGCTGAGATCTGTCCCTTCAGTGCCATCGTAGTTGACATGAGGCGATTGTAAAACTGTCTCTGGTTTTCTCTGGTTTCTTAAAATGCTAACTATAACATTTTTCTGTGAATACTCTGAATGTTTCCTAACAGTTGTGATGTTACTGTTCTGTTTTATGCTTATCCCAAGTTCATTTTGAATGGTTTGGAAGCCATTTTTGTAATGAATAAATGTCCATGCTGTACAGTATCTGTAGCATGCCGTTCTGGATGAATAAAGCGACGTAGTATGTGCAGAGAAAGGCTGGCCACTCGACTCTGTGATTCGGCGCCGGGTTTTCTCTTTTGGACACTGGGCTTCCCTCTGAAGAGACTGGCCAGGCTAGGGCTTGAGATGCCGTAGGTAGTATGTGGTAGTGTGTGGTGACTGAGTGCCTGAGATGGTCTTAAAAGGCCTTCTCTACTCCCTCCCCCCGCCCTTGGTGAATGTCCAGTGTACTTTCTGCAGCCAGCTAGCTGCTTCTTGTTTTCAGCGAAGACTCCTGTACACAATGGGACCTTCGGGTGGCTTTTTTTGTTGCTGTTGTTTTTCATCTCATTGTGTCACAATAAAGGAACAAATAACACTAGTTTGGCCATCATTTACTCACACCCTTGTCCATTGCATAGTGTGAAACAGAATTTGATTCTAGATGATGTGATTTAGTTCACCCAGTGTAGACTTAAGGAACTGACTGGGTACCACTTGAGGGTGGCGAACTCAGTGAATGAGCCCTCCCTACCTGAGGGAGGAAGGCAAGGATACAGGGTTCTGGTTTACCTAGCAGTTATTGAGCGAGCATCTTCTTAGAAAGTCAGCACCCCATTCACGTAGCTGTGCACGGAGGGGAGGAGATTTCCACAGTTGTGCATGGAAAGGGTCTTGCTGTTCAGGGCACCCATGTACCGGGTTATCTCCCGGAATGACTTCAAGTTCATCCCCGTCACCGAGGAGGATTGAAGTGAGGATCACTGGTGCCTCTTTTCGCAGACAGATGGATGGAATATCTATTGTTCGCGCTCTAGAATGGCCATTTCAGCTGTCCAAGAAGCCCCTCATGCAGCCAGCTGTCACTTAACAGCACCATGATATTGGGTCAAGATCTATGAGGAACTAACTATATGCTGCTTGAGCCAGCTGTGGGTCTGGGAATTTTCTGTGTTTTGGTTTTGTCCTGCTTTGTACTCTGATAAGGGACTTTCTGGTCACTCTTCCCTACTGTATTCTGTATACAGGGCCCAGATTGATCTTTGAGAGCATAAATAAGGACACCATGCCACTGGTGACAATGTGCCAAGCTGTCCCTATGTCCCTGAGCATTTTCTCATTAATCCTACCACCATCACCAGTGGAAGATTCCCCCCCACCCCGCCCTCTGGCCTCTGCCTCAATTCTAACAATGGCTTGAGAAATACAAAGCCCGAGGCCACAGTTGGTAGAGGGGGGGGACTGGAGGGACTTAAGTGGAGACCTGGCTTCTAGCCATGTTCTCAACACCAAGTTAAACCTGCACATGCTAGAGATAGATGTCCCTTCTCCTTGGTGAATGTAATAGGACAAGCCTTCCTTGCTTTGCCTGAATTCACTGTTACCTCAGTCACCTGCTCGCTCTCAGGAAATCCAGCTCACAAGAGTGATGCTTCCCTGAACCATTGCTGCTCTGGCTGGGGGCTCCCCCTCAAGCCTCCTGCCCATCTGCAGACAGCACTTCCTCATGGTCCCCATTGATATGGGAGGTCCTTCCCTATGCTGTGAATATGTGTTGCTTTTATTGGTTGATGATAAAGTTTTTTTTGGCCAGTGACCAGGCAGAATATAGCTAGTCAGGAAGTCCAGAGTTACAGAGAGAAAGAAGGTGAAGTTAAGAGAGACGCCATGCAGCTGCCATAGAAGTAAGATGCCAGAACATTACTGGTAAGCCACAGCCATGTGGTGATACACAGATGAATAAAAATGGGTTGATTTCATTGTGAGAGTTAGTAAATGATATTCCTGAGCCATTTGCCAAACAATTATAATTAATATTAAGCCAAGAATGATTACTTAATAAACTGCTGCAGGGACTGGCAGGGGGAAATATATCGGTACAGTGGGACAGAAAAATTCCAGGTACACCGATCCTGTGATGATATGGCCTTTTCTCTGTGCTCGTAAAACCCCGCCCAGTCTCTTCCTCACTTCAGCTCCGTAGCCTCCAGTAGAGGCTTAAGTCTACACTGGGTGAACTAAATCACATTGTCTAGACTCAAATTCTGCTTCACACTATGCAATAGACAGTGCTCCCCATGTAAGGCAATGCTGACATTTTGGAGTAGTGCATTCATTCTTGCAAAAGCAGTTTATCATACTGACTTCTACCCCATAGATGGAAACAGTACCCATCCTGCCCTGTACCCCAGCCCCCTGACAATCAGGACAACCAAAACTGTCTCCAGATATTTCTCAATATCCTCCTTGAGCCTGAAGCCACTCCACTGAAATTTTTTTCTCTGAAGAGCCCTCCAAATGGACAAGAGCATGGCTTTCATGTTCAATGTTGTGTACAAGGGTCCTGGGCACCTAATAGGTGGAGATGTTTCTTTGATAAAGGAAAGAAGGAAGGAAAGGTTGTCCTGGAGACTGATTAATGCTTCTCTGTTTTGTACTCTCACAATGCCCAGAGTGTTGATGATGACCTTAGCCCTTGGCGTGCTGGACTGGAGTGTGTGTCCCTTACAGATGTCAGGAGAAGGGCAGTCTCTTTGTTGTTAGCCATCCCAAGGCAGATCTCGCATTAATTTCAGAGTGGGGTCACCTAGCTACTTGCTTGTTTCCCCTACTGTGTTGAGCTGCATTAGGAGCTTTCCCAGGCATCTCTATGGGTCATCAGCAGTCTCGTCTCCCAAATATGGGTCCTAGTTCTGGTCTTCCATAGTTCCTACTGCAGCAACCTGAAGTCCTGCCTACCTCAAGTGTATTTCCATGACTCTACTTGCAACATCATGTCACCTTCTGTTGTGTATCTGTCCCCAGAGTTGCCTCTCATCTCTCTTGTAAGGATACACATGATTTTATTTCCAGGCCCATTTGGATAGTTCTTGATATGCTATCTTTAGATGCCTAACTATATCATTTGCTGTGTAAAAGTATAATAATACAAGCTCTAACTTTGTTGTGTGTTCTTGTGTGTTGTGCATGTGTGTGTGCATATGTGTGTATGAAAATGTGTGTCTGTGTGTGGGGAATGTTGTTGGTGCTGTTTGGATTGATTGATACAAGGCCTTGGCTGTGTGACTGCACCCATTCGAGTATGCCCCATGTAGCATGCCTTATTCAGCCTCCCCAGTACTAGGTTATAAAGTGCACCGCAATGGTGGCCATGTGGGCATATGTTGGGAGCTACCATCAGTCAGCCAGCTTTGCTGATACTGAGGTAACTTCTGGTTGTAGATGCCCTGCCTCTGCTAGTGTAGTCTTGGATGGCTGCAGTGGATGCTTTCCTATTGCAGATGCTAGAAGGTTCACTTTCGCATCTAATGACTCAGACTCAGATCAATGTAGATTAGAGGGCCTTTCCTCCAAAGTTGGGGCTTCAAGAAAGGAGGCAGAGGAGTGAATCTGAACTCCAAGCCAGCACCCTGCACCTGGCTTTAGATACTCCCTCATCCATCCTTCTTTTCAAGTTTCTTCAGCCCAGTGTTGACGGCCACGTTCATTTCCACAGTCAGCTAGGGCTGGCAAGTCAATGTACTGTGATCGCAGAAGCCAAACAGCCAGTCTTTCTGTGCCTTCTTTGTCCCTTTTTGGGATTCTGTGAGCCCAGCAATTAGAGAGCCTCAGAGACATGGATATGGAAGGTGCATGCATGTGGCCAGGTATACCAGCCTCACTCTTAGCAGTCATGCAGCCTGAAACTCAGTGGCCTTCAAGAGCAACACTCCCTCTTTAGAAGGCCTCATCCCTGGATGGTGTGCTTTTTGCAGTGTGAAATGAATTTTTGTTTGATTATTTGTTTTTGGAGACAGGGTTTCTCTGTGTAGCTTTGAAACCTATCGTGGAACTCACTTTATAGACCAGGCTGGCCTCAAACTCATGTGGGTATGCCTGCCTCTGCCTCCCCAGCGCTGCGATTAAAGGTGTGCACCATCACTGCCTGGCTAAAATGAGTTTTACTAGTATCATTATTAAAGGGTGTTGGAAAGACTGTTGGGTAGCCTGAAGACTCTTGCAGGTGTCACCTGAGGCGAGGGCTACAGACCAGAGCTAGGATCACTATGGAACTGGGTAGAGACTGGATTTCTGAAGCATTCCCAGCTGAGGTTACCCTCTTCATCTCCCATCCAAGGGCTATGTGAGCATCTCCAGGCTCAGAATAGCGATAGAGGCTGGACTCGGGTTGGTGCGTGTCTGACAGGTGGGGCTAGTGTGTCCATCTGGGGCTTTTCAGAGCTGGCCTCTTGTGAGTATACTTCCCAGCGCTGCGCGTGTGCTGATCATTCATTCACGCTTTCCTGTCTCCAATGACTGTATCTCGGGCACTTATCTGCATCAGGGTGGCTCTAGGCAATGGTATGCGTATGAATTAAAACAGCTTGCTCCTCTTTCTTCCTAAGTTTCCTCTTGTGTCATCTTTCAGCACAGACTTTGGTGATACAAGAGGATGGTCTAAAATCTCCACTGGAATTTCTCATTTAATCTTCCCTAGCAGAGCAGTTGCCTGACTTCATTTTATAAAGGCAGAAAGTGACATTTAGGCTCGAAAGTGCCTCTGTGGAAATAATAAGTCTGAAGTTTGACCTGAGCCTAGAAGCTAAACACGGCATAGGATTCCTTGTGATAAAAGCATAGACGGCTTAGTTAGTGACTGAGTGGAGACAGGCTGAAGGGCTGACTAGAGCCACACACACCCTTGAGAGAGGATTTTGCTAAGCCCAGCAGGGATGTACACCGGTGTGTACACAAGAGCATCTTCTCTTTTCTCGTCCTTTTTGTGGTTTTTGAGTGAAGAAGAGGAAGGAGGAAGAGGGAGTGGAGGAGGGAGGAAGATGACGACGATGACAGTTGACAATTTCATGGACCGAGCCACTTGTGGACTCAGCACTAGAAGGTAAAGAATCTTAGAAAGACTGGGAGAAAAATCAAGTGTACGCCCCTACATGTGTTTTTCAGTATTGTCTATTCACATCATATAGTGTTCCCCACATGAGGGGTTGTAAGCCATTGGAAGTCAGGAGATCAGTGTAATGCATCAAGGTTAGCATTATAAAAAGCAAGAGAGAATGA